GTTATAGCTCTGGTTCTGATGACGTCAAGAGTTGGGTAATCCTTATAAAATCAGAAGTAACCGCGTAAAGATCAAAAGTTGATCAACATGTTTATTTCGAAATTTGAGAAAGCAGAACGAGTTTTGGGCTCATATCACTCTAGCTGTCAAGATAAAAAAATTGCGTGACCCCACTTGTGACGTATCGTATACATATCCCAATGAACGCGATCTTGTCTAAACTGAGTACACACGAGTGACAACGAATGACCACGAACTATTCGACTATTGTGCACGTCAGATGTGATAATTGAACACGTCACATCTGGCAAAAAATGCCAAAATTGAACCTAAATTTCTTCCTTTTCCTTCGGTAATTCTTTTTAAAACTTTGCACATCTCTTAATATCGGCTTAAATTAACAAGCTCAATATCCTTTTCTCTTAGCGCAAAATTATCGAATTGCAATGTTCAGGAGAGCATTATCAATGTGTCCAATAAATTGGTCTTCATGTCATGTAAAGTGAAGAATTAAACATGCAGGACTTTACTCATGGATACTATAGCATAGCATAATGCAAAAACCCTAGACAGCCACCTTAAAATAATTTTATGTACTATTTGAAACACGAGCAGGAGTGCTTTATTAGATAGACAGGTTCAGATTCAACTACCACTACCGCTGCTTTTGACGGCTCCATTGGTAGCGGTCGCGACGGACTGTTTAGACCTGTTCAGATTAGACTTCTCCCGACGACCATAAATCGCTTTGTTACAGTCCCAAAACAAAAACATGCGACGATTTCCTCACTCTCTTGCAGTTACTGCGCATGCGTAACACATTGAAGGTAGCGGTAGTGGTAGTCAAATCTGAACCTGTCTGATATAAAATACGCGGCGACAGCCGAGAGTTTTATATCTGATAAAGCACGAACTGCGAGTGTTTAAAATGGCTTAAAAAACGAGTCATTTATTAGCAAAATAATTTTAAAAATAAACGTTGTCTATGTCGAGAAAATCAAAGCCAAAAACTAAACGAAATGTATAAAAATGTTATTCTGTTTTCTTTTCAAATCTCACATAGATAGCCCAAAAAACAAAAATTTTCTGACCTTTTTCACCGGGGTTTTTTCCGAACTTGTTTTTCACTCTTGAGATAACTTTGCTATTAATGATGAAGCAGTGGCGTAACGGAGGAAGAAGGAGCCCTTAGGCATATTTGGTTTGGGGGCCCCTGTTGACTGTTGTCATTGTTTGACTGAGATATTATATTTATATTGAATATTTATAGAATGTTCTGGAAAATTCCATATCTGTAACAATGACAATGACTACGACGACAATAGACAAATTTAAATCGAGGACGCGGACGTCAAAGAGGACGTGAAAATGGCGTGGCATATCTATACATGGGCACAGCACGCCATTTTCACGTCGTCTTTCACGTCGCGTCCTCAATCTAAATCTGTCTAATAACAGTCTCCAACACAACATATATAACAACTAATAAGAATAACTTTTGTTTTGTTTTTGAGATGGAATAAAAAAACAGCTACCGTTGTCGATGGAGGTTTTATCATTTAACTTTATTAATTTTGCATTTTCCCATTGATTCTTATAACCTGCATTTCTTTACGTTTTCTAATTTTCTGGGCGATACGCCGTGGCTGATTGGGGCCCCAAACTGTAGGGGGGCCTTAGTTTTTTAACTAACCCTACCCAATGAGCGTTACGCCACTGTGACGAAGTATTTCTAAAATTTGCTTTTTCTGAAAGACCAATTGTACTAGTATCCTAGGGACATGGTAAAGCCCGACTTAACAAAGAACTTTTTATACATGAAATAAGGGCGGTTTTTTCACACTGAATTTAGTAAATTTCCGCGCAGGGGCCTGGGTCATACCTTCAATTTCCGCCATCTTGGCTTCAAAAATCAAGCTCGAGTTATCGTTCCAGTATTTATAGAGTTTACTGAATAATCCAAGATGGCGGACAGCACACTGTTTTCGGTCAAAATATTTAAAAAATCAAGCCAGATATTAAAAAGCTGTAAAAATTCTTCATTATAATTATAATTGTTTTTAGAGCTCGTTCAATTCAGTCAAACTAAATATTTATTGCCAATGTCCCTAAGAAAATGAAACATAAGCATCTATATATATACACATTTTATTCATAACTCATCTCGACGCGTCATTATATATCTAATCCTGAGGCCAAATGTAGTCCTAAAAAAATACATGCATCACAGCCAATTCAAGAATTCTAGACTATCTTTCACCTTGTGAATTATGGTTTTTCAGCATATTATTCGAATAATTTTCTTCTAAATAGGAACAATGTGGACTGTCAAGGTAAACTTATCAAGGAAACTTGTCAAGGAAAACAGGCGTAAGAGGCGGGGGACGAACAAGTTTTGGGGAAAACTTGTTTGTCCCCCGCCTCTTACGCCTATGATTTTGGGGTCATAATTATACATAGTTTCAATCTATTTTGAAAATCAACTAAGTTGGCGTGGAGTGCAAACAAATTATTGAACAAGAATATATCCGAATGTGACCAGTGTTTTACTGCCATTATCTGGAGAGCAGCAAGCCCGCGCTATGTTACCGCAAACCATTTTATTGGTCCATTTTCCACCATCATTAACATATGCGATGCTAAAGCCAAGCCATGAATCGCATGTATTACAGTTGCCCTCATTATTAGCAACGATTCCAATTCGCACGACAGCATTACCATTGAACTTTACATTAAACCCCTCTCTCTTGCAGTTGTATTGTAGCGATGAGCCTGCGATGAGGGATTTCCATGTAGCCTTGCCAGCGGTCGTGGCCCTGAATTTTCCGTCTGCGATCACGCTGTACAGCGAACTTGCGGCGTAGTTCAATGTCGTCCATTTTCTCTTTCCATTGTGTGACATACCCAGGCAAATTTTTGTAAACGGAGTGTTCCAATATGAAGCCAACTTGCTTTCTTTCTCTGATATTCCTTCCAGTCCATCTTGTATGGCGTATGTCTCCTCGTTTTTCCAAAGGGCAGAGTCATAAGTAAATGTATTCTGCGGCAAAAACAAAGTACATATTTAGAATAATCCATTTTCGGATTGAAGCTACTCTGTTTCACAAATAACAGATTATTTAAAACATATATCCTGCCACCGTAGGATATAATTTATTACTACTGTATTCATTACTCATTAGCATGAAATTCATATAAGCAAAATACACTAGTTTATACTATATATTTTCTTTATTCAATCGCTTTTATCACTCTTCAATCTGTAGGTTCAAAATATATATTATCTCCTCAATATACATTATATTATGATACTTATACTACATATATTTTGTATTTTCTGTGTTGATAAATGATAATATACATAAAAATGTTACTCGACTGCATGTGATTGGTTGATTTCAACGCAGTATAATCTCAAACATCAGTGCAGAATTATGTAACAACAATGCAAAATATGTATATATAATTAATACGTAATAGGATGGTTTCTAGTTGTGAAATTTGGACAAATAGTGCGTGTTTATCCAAATTAATTGCACTCGAAACCATCATATTACCTACAGTACATAGCTACTATAATAGGTATTTATTATATTTTTCACAAAAAAAACAAGCGTGCAATCTTTTCTTTACCTTATGTCCGTCCAATTTCATGACTTGTGTCCAGCCTCCCCCTCCACATGTTTCAGTGTCGTTCATGTGACAGTACACATCGTAGTGTTCTCCTGTACTGATTGACTTCAAATTATAAATTCCATTGGTAGAATTTCTAAATGTTACAAATAAGCAATTAATAAGACGAAGTTTGGAAACTAGCAACAGTATTCTTAGTAATTTTTGGAATATTTGATAAACATGGATGCTGTTACGCACAATTGTAGTTTGTAATTTTAGACATTTTGCATTATATAGCCTTATTTATGCACTGTTACGCACTTATGTTATTGTATATATACTTGTTATACACTGATCACCAGCCAATCTATGTAATTGACTGAACGGTCTTTTTTATCAGTATAAATAAAGATTTTATTTATTATTATTTTATCATTATAATATGAGCCATCAGTTCCGTCTCCCCCAGCGTACAATTTAAAGCAATTATCCTTATATTTTGTTCACACTTTGTTATTGGTTTTTAAGCTATATTCGCTTTAAATGAGTGACAAAATGCTTAGAGCTATATTCGCTTAGAGCTATATTTGCATGTAAATGAGTGAGAAAACATTCTTGAATATTTAGATAATATATTTATATATATATATATATATATATATATATATATATATATATATATATATATATATATATATATATATATATATATATATATATAATGATAATCTTTAACCTTATCATTAATGATAATAGACAGGTTAAGATACCACGGTTCCGGTTTACGGGTACGAGTATCGCCATTTTGTTTACCAATTTTTGCTGATGTCAGCATTTTTACCCGTAATTTCAAGCCGTTTCCCCGCGGTAAACCGTTGTCTACACGTAAAGACAGACGGGCACGGGTGTTTTCTGTTTACTATTTGTGGGCCGTTCAAATAGTACAAATTTTCAATATCTTACCCAATTAAATACAGCACATATACTTGTCAAAGTTTTCAACAATCAATGAAGAACCTCAACATCGAAAGTTGCCATTTTCTGATCGGTTTTCTCAGGCTGGAATATCTTGGATTTCTTAAGTGACAAGTCGCTCCTCGATTTACGGGTACGTGTATATCACTCGTACCCGTAAACCGGGGTATCTTAACCTCTCTAATGTCGTAAAAGTACAATGTGTTCAGCCATGTAGGACAGTTAATGACTTTTGCTATTCAACCCGGATTAGTGATATTCAAATTTCGCCAGGTTACTAGTCGCGTAACCATGCAATTAAGCGTTGTATCCAAGATTGTTTTATTTAAAAGCTAGCGCTATCCACCACGGCTTCTTGCACAATTTCAGGCTCACAAAAATCACTAACTTTCAAAACTAAAGTCAAGTAAGCCATAATTCTACCAAAATTCGAAGGTTCTAACTCCTGATAGAAGGTTCTAACCCTTCCGCCATCTTGAAACAAAATGGCGACTAATAGGAAAGCTCTCGTTGTTTTATCATCATCGGAGAACCTTCGGAAAATACGTCATCGATTATGCAAATTAATTATCGGAAAGCTCTCGTTGTTTTATCATCATCGGAGAACCTTCGGAAAATACGTCAACGATTATGCAAATTAATTTGCATAACTCATGAATTATTTGCGCATATAATGGTCCATTAAGCCCGAGATATAACTACTCACCTGTATCGTGGCATCTGAATATAGCTGTATCGGACAACCACGCTATATTTAATGAAGTCCAAAAAACCTTTTGACAACAATCAACGATTAATCACAACAGCTTTTAACCGACTAAAAGGATGCGGTTTCAATCCAACGAACTTATTTCTATTTTCAGCTATCAAAGGCAAACAGTATTTGACTATAGACTGCACAAGCATTAAGAATGCATGACGAACGTGAAAAGAAGCAGCAGCTAGAATTGTGCCTTAACACTGGATGCTCTATTACAAAGAACGGTCAGTTTAAATTGGCAATTGAAAAGTTTCAAGAAGCTCTCAAATTGGCTGAGGAACTAAAAGACGAAAAACAAGTAACCAATGTAAATATTAGTTTAGGAAATGCTCATAGATTAAACAATCAGATTCAAAAGCAGCTCAGCACTATCAAAAAGCCTTGGAAATTGCAATAGAACGAGGATATAAACGAGAGGAAATAAACGCACGCTTTGGGTTAGGAAAGGTCCATAGAGGAAACAATCAGATTCAAACGGCACGTCAGCACTATGAAAAAACTTTGGAAATTGCAATAGAACGAGGATATAAACGAGAGGAAACAAACGCATACCGAGGATTAGGAGATGCTTATAGATTAAGCAATCAGATCCAAAAGGCAGTTCAGCACTATGAAAAAGCCTTGGAAATTGCAATAGAACGAGGTTACAAACGAGATGAAACAAACGCATACCGAGGATTAGGAGATACTTATAGATTAAGCAATCAGATCCAAAAGGCAGTTCAGCACTATGAAAAAGCCTTGGAAATTGCAATAGAACAAGGATATAAACGAGCGGAAACAAACGCATGCCGAGGGTTAGGCAATGCTTATAGATTAAGCAATCAGATTCCAAAAGCAGTTCAGCACTGTGAAAAAGCCTTGGAAATTGCAATAGAACAAGGATATAAACTAGAGGAAACAAACGCATACCTTGGGTTAGGAGATGCTTATAGATTAAGCAATCAGATTCAAAAGGTAGTTCAGCACTATGAAAAAGCCTTGGAAATTGCAATAGAACGAGGATATAAACGAGATGAAGCAAAGGCATACTGTGGATTAGGAGATGCTTATAGATTGAACAATCAGATTCAAACGGCAAGTCAGCACTATAAAAACGCATTGGAAATTGCAATAGAACGAGGATATAAACGAGATGAAGCAAAGGCATACTGTGGATTAGGAGATGCTTATAGATTGAACAATCAGATTCAA